GGGGGTTGGTCCCATGACCCCAGGTGTGTGGGGGACTGCCCCTGGACAGAGGGGGCTCTAAGGTTAAAGGACACATTCTTCAGATTCTTGGAGGATGGAGGCAACTGAAGGCACCTCTCTCCCCTTCTCCAGCCCTGCCTGGAGCATTGCCAGGAGATAGGAAGAGGAGTTGGTATGACTTTTCAGAGGCCTGGGGAAGACCTACCCCACTCAACAGCTGGCAGTGAGGGCCCGAACCCTTAGTGGTGAGGTGGCCTTCCCTGAATTCACATAGTGGCCTGAGGGTGGTGGAGTCAGCCCCTCTCCCCCCTCGGTCCCCTCTTAGGTCCTGGGCATTGTGTGTGTGTGTGGTGGCAGGAGGGGTTACTGATTCTCAGGGCCCAATGAGATCCTGGAAGAAGCCTGGCTGTCTTTGATTCGGGGCCTGTCTCCTGGGCTCAATTCGGCATGGTATTTCTGTCTGAATCAGCTCCTGGGAATTGCCTCTCCTTCCCCCAGGACCCTAGGAGGGGGCTGTGCTCACCCTGGGAACAGTGCCATGGTCAGGATCTTGATTCCTGGGTAGCTGCTGAGTGCCCCTCCCCCTCCTCTGACTCACTGTCTGACACTTTTCTTGGACTGTTTTCACTATCTTTTATTCCTTTTTCTGAGTTGGCCTCTCCTGTCTCTAGTTCAGTCTTTTTGTCCCCTCCCCTGCCTCTGCCCCCCTGCCTCTGGATTCCCAGGTGGGCCAGAAACATGAGGTCCAAGGGTTCTTCTCTTCACACTGCCCAAGGACTAGCAGGGAGGAGATTATTTTTCATTTCATTTGTGGTCTGCGCCTCTTCCTAGGGGTTCACGACTAAAACCTATTAGAAACTACTTTGTGCCTTGGTTTCCTTGTCTGCAACCTTGGAGGTTATGAACTCCTCACATTAAATTCCCTTTTTTTTTTTTTTAAGGTCTCAGAGGTACACTGACAATACTTGGCTTTAAACTACTTCCTTCACTTCGCTATCAGTTTACTCTTGGGAGAACTGATGCCTTCTGAGATGCATCTAGCTGCAGCCTGAGCTTGACCCTCCCTTTTTCTAATACCACTCATGTTCAAACCCTCTGGCACTGGAATGAGCATATGGCCCCCTCTTTGAATGAACTGTGACTGGATCAGGAGGAGGTCACACTGACCACTCATGCCCTGAGATGTCACATTGTCTCTGTGTTGCTACATGACACGAGCTGCCTGCCTGCTACCCTCCGCCTTCCTCTAATGCCCATCCAGTGCCTTTTCTATACCACACTCTGGTCTTGGTACTGGGCACAGCCAGGCACAATGAGGGCCAAACAGATACTGGGAGCATGAAGCCGTTGTAGTACAGAGTGGTAGGGCTGTGATCAGCAATCCCGGGACCTAGTAGGAGCCCAGAGAAGCATCTAGTGGGGCTGAGGGGAAGAGATGCTGTAGGGAAGCCCTCTTAGAGATGATTTCGGAAGGATCAGTAAACAAAGAAAGAAAGAAACAACACTCCATTGAGTCTATTCTGACTCTGAGTGAACCTATAGGACTGCCCCAGAGGGTTTCCAAGGCTGGTGAGTCTTTATAGGAGCACACTGCCACTTCTTTCCCCCTTGGAGCAGCTAGTGGATTCAAACCACCAACTTTCTGGTTAGCAGCCGAGCACTTTAACCATTGTGCTAACGGTGCTCATTCAAAGGCCAGTCAAGGTTAACTTTTGTGCGGGATGAGGAAACTGCTTGTGCAAAAGCCTGGTGGTGAGTAGAGACAGAACAATGCAAGACTCAAGCTAGAGTATAGAATTAAGGCACCATGGGGATGGTTGGTCTTGCTTGATGAGGCAAGGGCCAAGCCTGTTGCAGTCTCTTGCAGAATTCTGAACTTGATCCTAAGGACTTTGGGTAGCTGTGGAGTGGTTCAAAGCTTGGGGATGTCAAGTAGATCTGCAATTGACTGGGAGGAGAGGGCATGGTTAGTGCTCATAAACTTTTCAACTTGAAGGTGACATACATAGAATACATATTCTAATCTTAAGTATACAGCTAGGTGAATCTTGACAGTTTTGTATCCAGAAGCTCTGCTAGCATAGTGGTTACGAATCAGGCTGTTAACCTCCAGGTCAGCAGTTCAAAACTACCAGCCGTTCCGTGGGAGAACGATGAGGCTTTCTGCTCCCATAAAGATTTACAGCCTCGGCAACCCTGTGCAGGGTCACTATGAGTCAGAACTGACTCCACAGTACTTAACAACAACAAATCCACCACTCAGATCAATATAGAACGTTTTTAGCCCCTAAGAAGATTCCCTCAGGACTTCCCAGTGCATGCCCCTCCATCCCCTGGGTGACCACTGTTCTAACTTGTATCACCACTGATTGATTTTGCCTTTTCATGAACTTCGGATACATTCTTGTGTCTGGCTTCTTTCACTCACCATGGTATCTGTAAGATTCATTGTATCCAGGAGTTCATTCTTCTTTTCCTTTGTGAAATATAGAACCACGCTAACATTCACTGAGTCTTTACTGCTGTCTTGAGAACTTGGCAAGTGCTGACTCATGTGAACCTCCTGACCCTGTGAGGTTTTAAGACAAAGAACTGAAGACACAGAGAAGTTAAGTAACTTGCTGAGGATTACCCAGCTAATTAGGAGCAAAGCCAGGCATCAAACTCAGGCAGTGTGATCTGGATCACAGATTCTTTACACTATGTGCCCTCCGGTATTTCCTGCCTGTGTGGATGGAATGAGCTAATAATGTGTACTTGGGGACTGGATGGCTGAATGCGGATGGAGGGAGAGGGGTTGAGGATGACTGCAGGTTTCTGGCTTGAGTAACTGGGTGGGTGGTGGTGCTGTTACTAAGATAGGGAACACAGGAAGAAGGACAGATGGCATGGGGGGTGGGGAACGGAGACGATGGGTTCGATTTGGGGCCTGTGGAATTTTCTGTTTCTAAGGGACAGCCAGGTGCAGATACCGAGTAGGCATTTGGTTTTTGAGATCTTGGTGAGAGGCGGGGGTGGGGGTGGGGGGAGCTTAGGCATTCAGCACCCTGTAGATGGCATCTGGAGCTTGGGAAAAGACTAGTGTCTCCCAGCGGGACTGTGGTGAGGGGCTGGCTGCACGGATGTTCTTTGTCCATGTGTGTTTATGTCTGATTGTCTGGTCTGTGTGTGTGTAGACACACTCCATTTGGGTCCTGAGTACCCCATCTCTTGGGAGAGCCTATAGGTCAGCTGGGAGCTGGTTGTTTTTGTTTGTGGTTTGACCCTGGGAGGGGACATGTCAAGACTGAGAAACAACCCGCTGAGAAGCCCCCGGAAACACCTGTGTGTCCTGTTCCCCAGGCCCGGGGTAGGGGCTTGGCAAAAGGAGGGAGCTCCAGTTTTCTCACTTCTCTCCTGCAATACCCTCTAGGATCTGGGTTGGGGACTTCGTGAAGAGATTGGGGATAGGGGTGCTTGGAAGAGACACCTGTGTAAGGGAAGACCAAGAGAGCCTTCTGGTTGGTTTTTCCTGTTCTCTGTCATTTCCTGTGATGGCTATGATGGGGGAGGGGCTCCCCGGCACTGGGGCCTATGTTTGCTTCGATTCTCCTTCCTCCTGGTGATCTTTGGGGGCCCAGCCCTTTGTGTGGCGGGTTATACCACAGAGACAAGGTGGTTGTATTCCAGCCCTTGGCACTGAATCTCTTGGGGGATGCCCTGAGTCTTGACCTCGGTCCTCCTCCAAGCAATCCTGGGGCTGTTACTTGCTGTGATATTTAGGAGAAGACACCCCTAAATCCCCCCTACTCCAGTGAGGCAGCCAGCCTGTGGGAGTCTGCTAACTAGTTTTACTCTGTCAGGTCTGAGACCAGCACAGGGATGGTACAGTGTTGTATTCTGGAGTTCAAAGTCACCAGGAAAGATGTGGGACATTATCTTGGATGATCAGTTTCCCTGGAAGTTTTTGTTTGTTTGTTTTAAAGGGGAAAAACTCCTATTTCCATAGGAGATGAATTCCAACAAATAGGGCCAGATATTGGAGTAAAAGGCAAAAAGTATGTGAACTTTTAAGATCAAACAGGAGACTGACTTGAAAGAGAGGGAGAGCTGGAGAGCTCAGAGTCACATAAGGAGGCCTGAGGCAGGGGACTTCTCTCCTGTGGGTGGGGATTTCTGAAGGAAAGTCTGAGAAGCATCACTCCAGAAGATAGAGGAAGAGCTTGGGAAAGTCCTGATGCTGGGATCAGGCTCCAGCTGGAAGTCAGCATCAGAGCCATCCTGATTCCTAGGGTATCATTCAGTCTGGCCTGGCGTGAGTGTCTGTGGGTCTGCTCATGCACAGCAGTGTCTGTGTGGGTGTGCATGAGTAGAGGAGGAGGAGGCAGAGACAGGGAGGCTGTGCAGACTGTAGGCGCACAGACGGCCGTGCGTATGCGCGCGAGTGCGCGCGCACACACACACACACACACACACACACAAAGGCACACAGATGTGAGCGGGCGTGAATCACCCAGGCAGTGAGTCAGCCCCCAGGATTCCTGTAGGGGAACAAGGGAGGCCTGGCAGAGGTCTGTCAGCCCATCTGTCTGTCTGCCTGCCTCCTGCCCTTGCAGCCCTGCCTCTCTCTCTCTCTCTCTCTCTCTCTCTGTGTGTGTGTGTGTGTGTGCGTGCAGGTGGTTTGTAGGCGGGAATGGGGAAGGTGCTTGGTGGGTTTCTAGGTGGACTTTTCGCCAGAGGTGGCGGTAACCTAAAAATACCAGGACATGGGTTTGGACCTGTGTCTTGTGCAAAGAAGCGTGCTGGGGGCCATGCTCTGACTACATAGTGCACCACAGGTGGGTGCTGGGGGGCTAGGGGAGGATGTGGGACATCTTGGAGAGTTATAAGGATGAACAACAGTGGCCCTCACCTTCTGCTCTCAGCCTGTATCTGTTGCTGCCACTTTGCCACTTAGCACTTTTCTGTTCCGTTTGCAGGCTGTCTGTCCCGAGATGCTAGAGCAGCAACCCTGCACCACCATGACGGGACTACGGAAGAGGAAGTTTGACCAGGTGGATGAGGATTCCTCTTCCTCGTCTTCTTCATCCGGATGCCACTCTCGATCCTGCTCCCCAAGCTCGTCAGCCTCCCTTGCCTGGGACTCTGATGAGGAGGGCTCCTGGGATCAGATGGCCCGGCCTTCCCATGACATCTGTGACTCCCAGAATTTCACCCGTGAGTCTTCCCTGTCATGGCCTACTAGCTGGGGACCCCCATCTGAAAGATGAGCTTGGGAAGCCCTTGATCAAGCCCTGTCCCCAGAGATGTAGTTCCCCTGCTTGCCTCCCACCTTGTACGCTTCCTAGAATATAGCAGTCATCCAGAAAGGCCCACTCTCGAGAGCACTTGGGGCATTTTTGACCTTGGAACTCCCTACTTCAGAGAAGTGACTTCCAGGATAGAGCCCTTCAAGTGTCCCAGGAGGCCTCCTCTCTTTGGTTCTACTGCACTCAAAATGCCATGCAGCTTTGCGTGCGCACAGTGGGGGAGAAAGGGGTATTCTCTCAGTTATTTTTAAGCTTGTGCAATTCTGATTCCAACTGACAAGCAGAGCCCTAGAGCAGGGTTTCTCAACCTTGTGTTTCATTATCACTTCTTCCTGAGTCTTTTTTAAAGTATTTTTTTTTCTAATTGCCTCCTCAATAAAAATTCATTAACCCAGATGACTATCTAGATGTGCTGTCTGGATATGCTATTTATGTACTATATGTACTTTATATGTTTAAAAAAAAAAAAAAAGATTTTTCTCCCCAAGAGTCAAAATTTGCCTCATCAAATGCATATTCAAACACAAACTAGCATCATAAATATAATTGTTGTTAAGTGCCATCAAGTTCGTTCCCACCCTTAGTGACCCTATATAGGGTTTCTAAGGACCAGTTGGTGAGCTTGAACCACCAATCTTGGGGTTCAAACCGATCTTTCATTCCAGCACATTAACCTGCAGTACCACACCAGGACTCCTAAATATAACAATACAGACAGAAAAGTCATCGATGCAACCTTAGTACATAGAATCTTAACAGCACACCAACTAAACTACTGTTGGTTTATTCTGGAAATATCAGGATATTAGGAAATTCAGTTTATGTCAGAAGAGGAAAAAAGATAAGAGCCACTATAATGCTTAAAGAATATTTGATGAAATGTAATATCCTTTTAGATAAGACCCTTGCAAAGATAGGAAAAGTGAATTCTACTTTAACACGATTTTTTTTTTTTTAAGTTATGTCTCAACCCCAAAGCTCATTATAGTGAATGAGGAAGTACTGGAAGCTTTCCCACTAGGTCAGGAATAAGACCAGGATGCTGTCACTAGTGCTAGTTAACATTGCTCAGGAAACACTGGCCAACTCAATTAGCAGAGACAATAAGAATTATATGTATTGGATTGAGGCAGGCTAAATTGACATTATTTGCACATGGTTTCCTATCTGATGACTTTTTTATAAGAGAATTCATTCATGTAGTTAGGTACAAAATATCATATATTAAAGAGCTTCTACAAATCATTTTTAAAAAAACTATGTAAAAGAGATCTGTTGTTAAGTACCTTTGAATCGGTTCCAACTCATTTGGATCCTGGATAGCATTTCTGACAAGCAGCTGGTGGCTTTGAACTGCTGACCTTGTGGTTAACAGGCCAGTGTTTATGCTATAGCAGCACTACACCAGGACTCTAAAAGGGACCTATAAATGACTTCATTTGACAAATAACTCATTTGAAATGGTAAATAAGCCAATATGGACCAGTTCCAGTCCCTGCCATGCTGGGTCCTAAATTCAGATCCCTTTTTTTTTTTTTCAGGGTAGTGGAGGGGTGTATGAGAAGAGGTTTAAGACGTGCTTTTTGGGTGTTATGTTGTGCCTCACAGTGAATTAACCCCCTGCCCTTTCCCTGTCTGCCTTTCAGCCCTATCCATCTTGAAGCGGGCTCCCCGGGCACGTCCAGGCCGAGTTGCCTTCGATGGCATTACTGTCTTCTATTTCCCTCGGTGTCAAGGCTTTACCAGTGTCCCCAGCCGGGGTGGCTGCACGCTGGGCATGACCTCTCGTCACAGTACCTGCCGTCACTTCTCCTTGGCTGAGTTCGCACAGGAGCAGGCCCGGTCCCGGCGCGAAAAGCTCCGCCTGCGCTTGAAGGAAGAGAAACTGGCTGCACTCAGATGGAAGGTAGGCACCCCCTCTCCATGGCCTGGGGTCCTAGTCCTGTCGGGAGTGAGTAGGAGTGAGTAGCAGGGTCGGATGCTGATTTGTTCACTGTGTGTTTGGGGAACTAGGCACGTGGGTGCCAGTGATTGACTTGATTGGGAGCTGTTGCCAGTCCTGTTTGTCTGCTGCAGGGGCTAAGGGCAGGCACCTGAGTGCTATACTGGGGAGAGCAGTGTGATATTGGGGGTCTGTGCATCTGCCTGGATAGGGGTAAGAGCTTGACATGCATAGGGAATCTCTTTGCAAATGCCCCAACAGCAGTATCCTGAGCTGGCCTCTTCACTATTGTGCCTGCGGTGCTCGGCTTGTAGGGCACATTTGGGGAATGTTGGTCTAGGCTTCTCATATCCCTCTTTTTTTCCCGAGTGCAGCTGTCAGCCACCGGGGTATCTGAGGCTGAAGCAGGTTCACCACTCACAGTGGACGCCATCGATGACGCGTCTGTGGAGGAGGACTTGGCAGCGGCGGTAGCAGGCGGCCAATTGGAGGAAGGGACCTTTCTCCAGCCCTACCCAGCCCGGCGCCGGCGGGCCCTGTTGCGGGCTGCAGGTGTACGGAAGATAGACCGCGAGGAGAAACGGGAGCTGAAGGCTCTGCGCCGCTCCCGGGAGGACTGTGGCTGTCGATGCGACAAAGTCTGCGACCCCGAGACCTGCAGCTGCAGCCTGGCAGGCATCAAGTGCCAGGTATGGGGGCCAGACTGGGCTGGTGGGACGCTTGGTGGGGAGCCTGAACACCACGCTTCAGAATCCTTACTCATGTCTCTTCTTCTCTGCAGATGGACCACACGTCATTCCCCTGTGGCTGCTGCAAGGAGGGTTGTGAGAACCCCAAGGGCCGGGTGGAGTTTAACCAGGCACGAGTTCAGACCCACTTCATCCACACCATCACCCGCCTGCAGCTGGAGCAGGGAGCCGAGAGCTTTGTGGAGCTGGAGGCCTCTGCCCAGAGCAGTTCCCCCAACCCTGATGAGCAGGCTCTGGCCCCCACATCCCCCATGAGCAGCGAGCTGGGTAACAGCAGCTTCAGCCCTGACATGACTGAATCCTCCCCAGTGTCGGGCACCAGTGAGTCCCCCAGCAACCCTGCCCACCTGGCCCTGCCCGGCCCTGGCTTCCAGCCCAACATGGATGATGACAACCTGGTGCGGATCCTGACTTTCAGTGATACTGACCTTGACAGGGAGGAGGAGGAGAAGGAAGCGGGTGTAGGGCACCTGGACAATCTCAGCTGCTTCCACCCGGCTGACATCTTTGGTACTGGTGACCCTGGTGGCCTAGCCAGCTGGACTCAAAGCTATTCTGGCCCTAGCCTGGCATTAGGCATCCTGGATGAAAATGCCAACCTGGATGCTGGCTGCTTTCTGAACGGTGGCCCTGAAGGGTCGAAAGAAGCTGGCTTCCCTGGTACCCCAAGGCCAACCAGCATGGACGCTGGCCAGAGCAGCTCAGTCGACCTGAGCCTGTCTTCCTGTGACTCCTTTGAGCTGCTCCAGGCCCTGCCGGACTACAGTCTGGGACCCCTCTATACCTCCCGGAAGGTGTCTGACAGCCTGGACACCCTCGAGGCACCCCACTTCCCTTTGCCTGGTTTCTCTCCACCCAGGGACCCAGGCACTTGTTTCCTGGAGTCCTTTGTGGGCTTTTCTGAGCCAGCTGAGGAGGTTCTCACTCCGTTTCTTGACAGCCAGTTGTTCGAGGATGCTGCCCCTGCTTCTCTCATGGAGCCGGTGCCCGTGTAAGAATGAGGGGTGGGCTTTTTCTGGCCCTGAGAGCCCTGCTGCTGTTTTTGGGGGGTTTTTCTTTTTTAGACTTTGGGGATTGCCTGGGGCCTCTGTGTAATTTAGGTCTGTGGGCACTCTTGATTTTTGTGAAACTCTCTGGATTTATTTATTTTTTTAACTGTGTTGAAGAGTGGGCCCATGGGTAATGGCCTCCCTTTTCAGCCACCCTGCTGCGAGCGCCCACCGACACCATAACCTTCCGACCACCATACTGTGTACCCGGAAGAGAAGATCTGGCTCCCCTGGAGCTTTGCAGACCCCCTTATCATCTTTGTACGATAATTCTTTGTTCAAAGACACTGAGACGGGGCTGGAATCGGCCAGTTGTGGCTTCTTCTGCCACGCTGAGCCCTAGACCCACGGGTGGCCACGTCTTCTGGACTGCCAAGACTGTACTGTAATTTATTTCTGTAATTTATTTGGAGCTGGAGGTGGCACTGGCAGGTGTGCTGTCTGGTGTTGATGTCGGGCACAGACCCTGTGAGTCCTTTTGCTTTGTAGACCTTCAGCCTTGCTGGCTTGGGCTCTGGAGACCAGGTGTGGATTTTAACCTGAGGATCCACTACTCTTCGTTGCCTGGCTCCTGGAGGACTGAGCAGACAGGGTTGGGCAAGCAGAGCCTGGACCAAGGGAGGTGCTGGGCTGGGCTGACCAACCATGACCAAAACCCCCTTCTGCCCTGCCCAGCTTCCTGTCCTCTGTCCCATCCCCCTTTATTCCAGCCCCATTGATGGCAGAGGGGGAAGCAGGAGGCCCAGAGAGGGCATAAAGCTTCCCTTGGGACACACAGACTGTCCCTGACTACTATCTCTGGGCATTCAAGGTACCACACTCCAGCCTGGACCACTTGCCCATTCCCTGAGGCCAGTGGCCAGCGTGAGGGATGGCTCCTTGGGGCTTTTATGCCCTTCCTTTGCCCATGTTGAATTTTGCATCATAATTTCTATGTTGTTCCTAAGTGTTAGGACTATAATTTATTCATTTTTCTCTGTGTCTGTGCCAAGAAGCCCAGGCTCTGGGCCTGCCCCATCACCTCCTCCCCTGCTCCCTTGCCCAGGAGGCTTCGCCAGACAGTGTACTTGTGGGAACACCTTGTACCTGAACTTGCAGGTACCAGTAAAGAGACTCTATTTGTAACAGTGTGGTCTTTGTTTGTGGGATGGGGAACATGGGTACCCCTCTGCAGACAGTGGGGAGGAAGGAGAGACGGGCCCTGTAGGTCAGTGTGGATAGAGGGGCCCCTGAGACTATGAGAGAGGGGGATACAACACATTGGGCCTCCTTCCAGGCCAGTCATCTTGGAAGCAGGAGGCCAGCTGAGAGGCTGGCCAGGCAGATGGAGCCAGTTTCCCTTTGAGGGGAAGACAGGAGGAAGGAAGAAAGCCGTCCCCTTTATGATTAACCCATTTCTCTCCTGTGACAGCCTGAGGTAGTGGTGAGGAGCAGCAGCCGGGCAGTCTCCACACTGAGCTTGGGTTTGGCCCTGCGGATGAAGTGACCCACCCTGGCCAGGGGCGGGGCTGCCAGTGGGACATGGCTGGTAGAGGCCTGGCCCTGGGCTTGGACCTGAGCAGTGGAAGCTATAGCTCCTCATCCATCTGTACCAGGCAGACCTGTCTGACCTGTCCCTGCCAGGAGGCCTGGCTGCAAGCCAAGAGGAGCAGACGCTCTGGGGGCCTGAGGAGGATGGCTGACACTCCCCACCACACCACACCCCACACACACATACACTTAGGGACAATAATGATTTATACACACTGGGAAAGGAGGAGGTAGACAAAAAAAAAAAAAAGAGACCTGATTTGAGACTACTCACTCGCATTCTTTAAGTAGCCCTGGTAGCATAATGGATTATGAACTTACCACAAGGTCAGTAGTTTGAATCGACCAGTCACTCTGCAGGAGAAAGGTGAGACTTTCTGCTCCAGAAAATATTGACAGCCTCAGAAACCCTATGCGCAGTCGCCGTGACTGGGAACGGACTGGGTGGTACCCAACACCACCACTACTCATATTCTGTCAGTTAGCACCCTTTCTGTTCTCTATATATGGAGGATGGCCTACTTGCTGAGATCTCAGACCCTGAGTCCCAGGTTCAAATCCCAGCACTTCAACCACTTAGTGAGATGATTTAGAAAGTTACTTACCCTCTCTGTGTCTGGGTCTCAGCATTGTGTGACTAACCCTGCTCACCCTGTCAGTTTGCTGAGTTCATAGACACAAAACAGACGTAAGTCCCAGATATGTGTGTGTGAGAGACTCTCATTCTGTTTCTGTGTTTCTGCCCGGCTTTTCCCCATACGTTTATCCTTTTTTGCTGGTCCTGTCACTTTTAGGTATCTGTCTCCTGCCTCTAGACATGGCCACAAGCCTCCACTAGAGGATTTGTGGCTGGAGTCTGGCCTTGGTCAGAGTTAGCAGGCTTTAGGCTTCTCAGGGCTGGAGTACCATGGTACATTCAGATGTCCTGTCCTTCCTCATGGGTCCCTAGGGAGTCTTTTGAGGAGATTGCATCAGCACACTTTGTCTCAAACTTGGATCTTCCCAGGGGCTCTGGGGTCTAACCAGCCCTGCCTGGAAACCCCTGTGGCTCCTCTTCCAAGGACACAGTCTATGGCTGGACTTCTCTCCTTCTTGGGCAGTAGTCACTCACTCCTTGGCTTCTTTCTTGTTTTTGAGATAAGAGAAGACAACTTCAAGTTTGCAGGAATGACCTGACTCATACACAATCCCTGGAGCGTAGCGTTTCCCATACATTGAGACCTGCCCGTATTCAGGTTTAAACCTCAGACAGACCTGCCTCTCAACACAACCCACCCCAAGAAACTGGGTCATAGTAAAGGGGACTGGACTGGATTTTCCCATAGAAAGGATGATAGTAACTGGGGGAGGCGTTCCAGATCACTGACTCATACCAAGAAGATGTGCACGTGACCAGCAGTATGTTATACAAACCAGGCACAGCAGCCATCAAGGACAACTCTCTGGACTCTAAAAGGGAGCCTTATCCGCTCAAGGTTCTCAAACCTTAGCCATTGGACACCTTTTTTAAAAAGCTACCCTATCTGCATTTTCCTCATATTCATTATTTTTGTTTAAATTGACGCTCTCAATAGGATTAAAAGTTAGACCAATCCTAGGCAATAGTAGGAGACCTGGTATGGCACTGTAGGATAAGCACTGGGTCACAAGGTCGGTTTAAACTGCAATGGCCAGCGGTTCAAGTCCACCAGCCACTCCCTGGAAACACGATACATACGGGGTTGCTGTGACTTGAAAGCAACAACAATGCAACAGTACTCACAATCTCATGAGCTTGTGCTAGTGTCTTCGCTATTTAAAAAGTGATAAATACGTTGATAACTAAACTTTAAAATGTTTGCTGTATTTCAGGGATGCGCACCATGATTTGGGAACAACAGGTCTAGGCTCATTTCCTGCTGCAGATTGAGACCCCAAGAGTGGCAAGTTGCACAAGCGATCCTAGTCTCCTGAGTTTAGAGATCCTCCCCCTGAGAGCAGTAAAGTGTTGGAAGCCCAGTAAGGGGACCCCTGTCACTCACTCCCGTGCCAGCTACAATGAACATTATCCATCTAGATAAGGGCCACTGTATATGTTCTTTAGAGGATGAATTCATTGGCATGTGTTTCTCACAAAAGCTGAAGGGATTACTTTTTTCTTGGGATGTTTATTTCTCTGTACCAGGCAAGTGAAATAAGGTTGCCCCAAACCAGTGAGGGCCAGTCGTGTCAGCTGAACACTGAAGACGTGGGGCCAGAGAAGACAGTGCATGGAGGGTCGGGCAATGACCCTTGCATCCTGCAGAGTGATGGTGCTCTCACGCAGGGCCCAGACATGGGCCTTCTGCAGCTGGCCCTCCTTATCTGGGCCCATTGCCCACAGCATCCTGGGCCCACTGCCAGGGCGGACAGCCTGGTGGGGAGGAGCAGTTGCTTCTTTAGCTCCAGGATGCTAGTACCAGACAGAAGAGGAGAGGCATATATGGGCTGATGTAACAGTCTGTAAATAGCTATAGGGTTTTTTGATTTTTTAAAACTACCAACCCACTGGGAGCCCCCTCTATCTTCTTTCTCTCACAGAGAGTCCTACAGAAGCTAAGCTGGGGTTTTTTTCTTTCTCCCCCAGAGCAAAATGACTTCTTGTGCTTTTAAAACATACAGCCTTCGGATGCCCCTTAGTAAAGAAGCATGTTGCAAAGTAACCCACACGCAATGTTGATTAGACAATGTCATTTTCTGAATTCCTTCTCCACTGCCCCCACTTCCCACCCTCTCCATGGCACTTCTGTAGGTTGATGGTCTCCACTTCAGTCCCCATGATTCCCAGAGGCTGATGGACCCCCTGGCTGCTGACCATGGCTAGGCCCTTAAGGATCCTTGCGCCTTTTCCAAAATTTCCTCTCTGATCTTTGGGTAGTTAGGATGCTCCCTGAGAACCTGGGACAAGGAGAGAGAGGATGTGCAGCACCAGGCAGGGTTCAGGGCCATTGTCCTCCCCAAGCCAATGTCAGTAGCTTACGCTGTGGCAGACTTCAATGGCCTCCACGAATCTCTTGTCCTTCAGGTAGTTGAAAGCGAGTTTGAAGCCTGTCCAGAGGCAAGGAGAACAGAAATTGGATCTCCCTGTGACTTAAGAAGTGCTCTGCTTCCCAGGGCAAGCAGAGGGCAAGTCCTGAGATCTGGCTCAGGAAGCAGGTCCTGGCGCCCACCTCCTTCCCACACCCACCCACAGTCACCTTGGCTGCTGTCTTACCCACGGAGGGGCTGGCGTGATGGCTATACTTCCAGGCCAGCTTGTAGTTGGTGGCTGCATCCTTGTAGGACTGCTCCTTTTCCATGATGAAGCCCATGTACTCATAGGCCTTGCAGCAAGACTGCAGGGAAAATCAATCAGAGCCCAGTCCAGGCCCAGCATGGGGCTAGAGATGTCTGTGAGGGGAGCTGCCCTGAACAAAACCACTAAGGGTACCCAGAGGCATCCCCTCATGCACACCTCCATCACTGTGAGATCCTACTCCTCTCCCTTTTGACACACTCTCATGGGGAGAATGCCCCTCCACCTCTTAAGTCTGTCAACACAAGAACTGTCTCTTTTCCTACTCCATGCAATGCCCCCTGGACACACCTGCTGCCTTGGCCTAACAGGTGTGCTCGTAGCTCAGGTTCTATCTTATGCACAGCCCCGGTCTCCCCTCTTCCAGTCCTGTTCCTAACTCCTGACACCTCTTCTTCCCCACCACTATGATGCCCAAGCATCCTACCACCCGATATCCTCGTGGTGCCCCTTGAACCACTGTTTCCTGCTTCCATCACCCCCACTCCTGGCCACCCCAAGGTCGGGTGCCCCCTCGCCTTGTTGTACTGAATGCAGCGCCGCAGCAGGTCCGTGGCGAGGTCGAACTTGCCGCCTTGGCAGTAAATGTCAGCCAGCAGGAGCCAGCTCTTCTCCAAGTCCTCAGCCTCGGTCAGCACCCAAGGAGCCTTGGCTTGACGCTTCAGTTGCGTGCGCGCCTTAGGGGTCTGCTTCAGTAGCGTGTAGGCCTGTGCCATGGCCAAGATGGCAGGGACGCTGTTCTTCTGCATGTGGGGTGGGAAATAGGCGTCAGTGTGACTGGGCCCTCTGCCTCTGCCCCAGCACCTGCAATCCTAGGGTAGGCAGCTGGTGCACCTCGGCCTGGGCCAGCTCAATGAAGGTGTTCAGCGCTGCCTCCACATTAGCCTTCTCTTTGGTGGCCATCAGGCAGAGGCTCTGCAGCAGCCGCAGCTGGACATGGCCAGAGGCTGAGTGTGGGTAGAACTCACGCAGCAGCTTCTCAGCTGTGCGTACACCGTGCTGCTCCGAGTCCTTCCTTTCAGCAGAGCTGTGGGCATCATCAGACACTGAGCCGACAGGGTCTCCAGCCAGCGCTCCTGGTCTTAGCAACAGGCTGCAGATGACCCCCCTCCTTCCCCAGGAACCCACCCCTGCCCATTAGGCCCAGTGGGGTTTTTACATGCTCTCAGCCATATGGTTCTCAAAAGCCTCTCCACCCACGATCTCATTGTCTGGGTTCAGACAGATCTGCACCATGTAGTAGGTGGCGCTCTGGCCCCAAGTGCTGTCCTTTCGTGCCTTGTTCAGGAATTTCAGGGCTTCGTTGGGCTGCCCAATGTGCCTACAATGGAGGAGAGAAATACTATGAGTCCTATGGGAAGATGGGAGCCCAGAGAGTACCAGAAGAGCAGAAGCTGGTCCTGGAAGCAGAATTTCTGCTCCCTAGCACTGAGCCCTCTTTCTGAGCTCATACTTTGGGCATGTTCTCAGGAGGGACCAGTCTCTGGAGACGGACATCACGCTTGGTTAAGTGGAGGGTCAGCCAAACAGAGGAGGATTCCTAAGGAGATGGGCTGGCACAGTGGTACCAGCAACAGGCTCAAACATAACCACTGTGAGGACACTGCAGGGCCGGGCAGTGCTGCACTGTGTTCTGCTGAGGGTCGCCCTAAGTTGGAAATGACCTGATGGCACCTAACAACAACAAGCGCTGAGCCAGAAAGAGCCCTGGTAGCTCAGTAGGTTAAGCACTCAGCTACTAACCAAACGGCTGATGGTTCCAACCCACCGGCCACTCTGAGGGAGAAGGATGTGACAGTCTGTTTCCACAGCCTTGGAAACCCCATGGGGCAGTTCTACTTTGTCCTGTAGGATCCCTGTGAGTTGGAATTGACGGCTGCACTGGGTCTTAGTGCTGGACACGGCCATACCCGCTGTTAACTTACCAGCAGTAGATGCCTCTGCAGTAGTTAAACCCTGGCTCCAAAGGCATTCGGCTGGACATCTTCGTGGCCACTTCAAAGAAGGTGGGGGCTTCTTCAAGTCTGCCACTTCTTCGGAGCAGATCAATTAATTTATTCAGTACTACAAAATTATCTAAAAGGATAAAGACAGAAGAGATCTCCAGGCTTTAATGACCAATAGCTGCATCCGTTTGGGAAGATGTAGCCTGGCAGAAAGATGCAGCGGGTGCTGGGACTCCAGGGGGAGCCACAAGACATCGCCCATGCAGGCTGAATAGGGACATCCTAGGCCTGCATCATGGGCTGGTGTTGAAAGAATAATGACAATAATACTTAGAAATTGTAATAGTAATGACAACAATAACACTTATTAACTACTATGATTGACTCTATAGCATTCATTATACAGACAAGGGAACCAAGCCCTAGAGAAGTTAATTATATCGTCTGGTCTGTAAGTGGCAGACAAGAATTCAGATCGAGGGTCCACAGTCCTAACCTCTTAGATCAGCTGAAGTCTTGGGGAGACTGCCACCCAGTGGGCCTGCTGGGGCCCCAGCCCAAGCCCCGTGTTTGATTCCTTCCCGAGGAAGAAGGGGTGGTTTTTATGAAGCTGATATCAGAGAAGGAGTCTGAGACCCTTCAGGGCTGTATTGAGTCAGGAGGGGCTGTGATCTGGGGACAGACAGGCCATTGTGAATCTAGCATCAAGCACTGCCATGTCAGGAACTGGCCCCTTGGATTCGGGATGGAATGGCATGCTCCATCAGGTCTTTCACAGTTTCCTGTGTCAATGGGAACAATCAGAGTGGCAGGGGCTTCCTCTGCCCCATCAGGAAGGAGGGGAGAGGGCTGGTTCGCCAGCGCTCAGTGGGAACTGAGCAGGCAGCTCTGGATTACCTGGGGTTTTCTCCAGGGCCTGGTGGTAGAGGTTGATGGCACCTTCGTAATTCTGCTTTCTAAACATCAGGTCAGCCATCAGCTGTCAGAAAGCATACAACACTCTGGGGATTCCTGACAGAGGCTTGCAAAGGTGTGTGTGGAGGGTGGGGGCTGGCGGGCAGAGCGGGGAGAAAAAGACTTCCAAGGCAACTTTCCTGGGCCCTAGAGTAGCAGCCACAGGAGAAGCCTGTGGGTCCCTCAGACCCTCACTCACAAGGTGTGGGTATGGAGCAGGGCTTTGAGAATCGGAGAGAGGTCAGTGGGGGCTCTTGACGGCTGCAGAGTGGTCCTCCCCACCTCCCCAGCTGAACACTGCCAATTCCAGTCAGCGGGAGGTAGGGATGGGGCTCCCCTCCTCTGCTCTGCAGGGACTGGGCCTGGGCTCCTGAGGCTCAGGAGGGCTGATGATAGGAAGGAGAGAGCAGACCACTTCCTGAAGCCCCTGGAACCTCGCCCACCCTTGTCTTCACTAACAGTGGGTGTGGTTTCCCTTGGAATGAGTCAACCTCACCCTTCCCTTTAGAAGCCCAAGAGTTTGTTGCTGCCCCCTGCTGGCCCTCTCGCCCCTACCACTAAAGGCAGCTGGTGTGCAGCCTGTGTCCTAGGCTTGGCAGAGCCCCAGGGCAAGGGGTGGGGACGAGGGATCACAGAGACCTACCACAGAGGCGGTTTCATGGTTCTGCTCAGTCTGCAGGAGGTTGATACAGTGCTGTTCACACAAGTCCAGGTGCCCCTGAAGCAGGTAGAGCTGCGCCAGCTCTACCTCCACCTGGCACAAGGGCAGATATAGCCTAGTAAGCAAGGAACATCCTGGGGAAACCCTGGGAGTCTTCCTTCAAGCTCCATCCCTACTGACTCGACCTTCCCAATTAGCCCCAATCCCCTAGAATCTCTGCCCCTCTCCTGCTTCTTCCCACTACTCCAGAGCTACACTAAGCTCTGAAAGTCTGGGCCTAGCTAACTGTACTCATTGTTCAGCAACAGGTCCACTGGGAAGCCCTTTGGTACCCAGACCTGGGGCAGAACCATTCCCCTGAGCCTCATCATGTCCAGTGCCCACATGCAGTGCACATGGCCTGGTGTCAGAACAGTCTCTTTGTGACTGATTTCCCCTCGCCTGAGGGTAGTCCTTGGGCAGGACCATGTCTTGCCGCAATGTGTCCCTGAAGCCTAGTAGAGGATTTGGCACACATTAGAAATCTGCTGACTGAATGAATAATTACCTGAACAAGTGAGTTATTCATCAAGCTCTTCATCTACCCTTAGCCTGTATTCCAGCTGCCATCCCCACATCTGGAACTGCACAGCCCTCAGAGCTCGGCACCTTCTTGGAAGTTTAGCCACAGCCCTTGTCACTTCCACAACTCTAAGAGGGACCTAAAAACGTCAGACTCACACAACTTCCAGCAAAGTCCTCTCCACTGTCAAAATGGGGCTTCCCAGCCTGACTTCACAGTTGAGGGCCTGGGGTCAACTACAAGGGACTGCTACTGGCTGGCCTCCTACACCTCTTTCTCCTGCAGCCCTTCCGAGAGACACAGACAAGGAACTGGCCTCTGGCTGGGGCAGGGAGCTTAACAAGGCTTGTGCCCACAGAGAGGGAGCAGGGCTGCCTACCTTGCTGTCAGTGGGCGAGTAAGAGAGTGCATCCTTGTAAGCCTGTGTTGCCTTGGTGTACTCCTTCTCCATCACGTAGTACTCTCCAAACTGGATGCAGATGGAGGCTGCCAATTGCTTCTGGGAGGGGATCATTTCTGGTTGCTCCAGCGGAGCCCGCTTCAGGATCCGAGACTGGAGGTCCAAAGCCTTAAGAAGTCAGTAAGTGCAGGATCAGGAACCAGAGCCTGACCTGGAAGGTCTCAGACTAGTCCACAGAAAGTCACCACACCCTGATTTCAGATCCAGTAATGTTAGAAAAGGCATCTCAAGTGCCCTGGGCAAATCTGGGTCACTCTGGACAGGGAAGGCCACTGCTGAGTGTACCGGGGAGGCAAACTGCCATTACCTTAGGGCAGGAACAAAAACAAAGGCACTCAAACAAAAACTCTACAACGTTTTACCTGTTTATCTGCTGCCATCCTACCTGGAGGTACAATGTCTAATTTGCTTTGGCAGCCCGACCAGCTAGAACAGGCACACAGTAGGTGTCCCCTGCATTTTGTGCATGCATTTGTTCTGTGCCCAGTTGGGAATGTCAAGCAGCCCCCAAAAGCATCCGTGACCCCTAGATGACCATAAGTGACCAAGTTTAGAAGTGGAAGACCTTGAGGCAAGAGGGAATAATGATGCCAGGGGTAAGCTCCCAGAAGTGGGTACAAATTAGCATTTCGCTCTCCAAGGGCCATCCTGCATGCTCAGTGGACAGTAAATGAGGGAAGAGATCATTTCTGCCAGTCAGAGAGCGAACTCCCCTTTATCACCTCAGAATGCACCCAGGAACAAGTATAGGCCCCAGCCTTGGACAGAAAGAGTGAGGAAGATCGTGGCAGAAGTGAATGGAAGAACATGCGTTGGGATCACCAGATATGGTTCAGATTTTAGCTCCACTGACTTTGAGCCCGTTTTTAAAGCTATTTGGGTCTAACAGTCTTGACTCTTAAATGAGATTGTCAGTGTGCTTAACCTTAAAATAATATTATGAGAATTAAATAGGGAAGCAAAATGACAAGTACAGACGTGGCATAGAGCACTCCATGTGTAGGAGCTAAAGTGCCTGCCCTATTATCATCCCCATCATCCTTTACGGCAAAGGCCCTGCCTTACTTTCCCCTGCTTGTCCCAAATCCTCTTTCCCCAGCCTGGCAAAGCCCAGCTCAGGGTACTCTGCTTTATCCTCACAGAGTGGAGGAGAAAGTGCAGGTCACAGGTGTAACCATAACTGGGGCTCCCTCCTTCCTCCTTCAGTACCAACCCTCATCCCCACTCCCACCCCCACCTCTGTCCGCCCCTCACTCCCCCACTCCCCAGGTAATTGAAGTCTACCTTGTTCAAAGTTTCCATCACATCTTCTGTTTTATGACTTTGGTTAACCTTTGCCAGTAGAAGTAGGCATTTGACATCATTCATCATGGATGGGATATCATTCACTGCAAAATAGAAACTCAAGTTAGTGTTCTATGGCACCTGGGAAGCTGGACTGGGCTCAGGCCCCATGCTGCCCAAGAACAGAGAGCGGGCAGTCTGGGGGTGAGTGAAAGTACCGCCTCACCAAAGTCATGTTCCAGAGCCTGCTTGAGCACTTTTTCTGCTTTGGTAAACTTCTTTAACTTCAGCAGCAGCTCAGCCAGATCACAGCACAGAAAGTCCTGTCCACTGATCTTCTGGGCAGCCTCATAATAATTAATTGCCTTGGTGCAAACAGGAAGGACTGGCATCAGGTCTGGTGGCCAGTGAACCACGCTTGCTCTGCTTGAGCACCTGACACCATGTTGTCCTCAGCAGCCACAGCCTGTTTGTCTGTCCCTCTAGAACACAGATGCCTCAGCAGGAGGAGCCAGGGCGGAGGGGGATTGTGGAATTCTCCCCATGGTATTGATTCATCAGAGAACTGGGCTGGAAACTCAGGCATTCCCCTCCCATCCAGATCCTCCCACTTTGCCATGCATCACTCCACCCGCACCTCCTCCCCCCACACCCCCCACCCCACCCCCACCCCCAGCCCAGCCCAGTCGGACCTTGCTGTACTGGTGAGTCTTCACATAAGCTTGTCCGATCCTGCTGACCAGGGAGGCGTCATGTGGGTTCTTTCTGTACGCCTCATCATAGACCTCCAAGGCCTTCTCAGGCTGGTGGGGAAAGTGTCTGGGGGTCTCTCTCTTCTCTTTCACTGGAGAAGCGAGTTGTGGGGGGATCAATTGGCAAGGCCTTGAGGCCCCTCACTTACCTCCTGAATGGTCATAAAAGCATCACCCAGTAGCAGGCTGGTGTGGGGGCCAGGCAGGTTTTCACAGAGATCGCTGCAGAGATAACCAACAGCTTGTCTTAGGGTTTCTCATCCTTCCTTTTCCCTGAACTCATCTCTTTCTCTTCTCTACTTTCCCACCGAGTCTCAGTCACTGATTCTGGTTGTCCTCCATCCTTCCATCCATCCATCCATCCATCCAATTATTAGTGAAAACCCACTATGCGTGAAGCATTGCACTGGCATGGTGGGCTTTATCAGTTCCTTTACTCCTGCCCCTCCAGGGTCCATTCCATCTAAGGAAACCACACTGTTCTTCCTATAACTCCAATCTGACCATGCCGCCCCACTATTTATTGCTTTCTACAGCTCTTGGGATAACATCCCTATGCTCCTCAACCTGCCCTCACCCCCCCCAAGGAAACTAAATAGATGGAGTTTGTTTGACCTGAAGGAACTGAGAAGGCAGCCTGGAGATCCCATCGCCAACTAATATAGAAAAAGCATCTCTCAGTTTTAGATACCTGTCCTTCATCCTCAGCCTTCACCCAAGACTGGTCAGATAGATCCAAGCAACTGAACATTTTCTCAAGGACAGGCAGAGCCATGGGTCAGGCCATAGGTGCATTCACAAAGCTCTGGGAGTTAGACATGGTCTCCCACCAGGACGTGAGCCATGCAAGAGGGGCAAGCAGGACTTCAGCTCTGTGTCCTCAGAATTGAGCAGCAAGCCAGGTTAGCTGACCTATCATCCTCCAAGTCTACCCGATGGGAATTTACACTGGCATCTCACACATTCCAAGGACACATTCTGGAGACCTGAGCTGAAGAAACACTGAGATCCTGTGGGAGAAGAGGCTGGCATTGCACTGCCTGGGGCACATACCGGTAGCACCCGATGTACAGGCGGACGTCTTTGCGGTTCTGCAGGTAGATGCTGGCCATCTTCTCCTTGGCTTCTGTGTAGCAAGGCTGCTTGGGGGTGATGTTCCTTAGCATGCTCAGCGCCATGTCCACGTTCCCCTTGCTCAGGGCCAAGTCCACGTTGGCGATGGTGATGCGGATCTCTTCTGGTGTGCCACTGAACTCATTGATGGCATCCTGCATGACCTTGGTGGCCTCATGCTAAAACATGCAGACCAAACCAATTCTCAACTCCCAGTCATCCACCAGCTCTCCAGACCTCCTAGGAAACTTAAAGGAATTCTCTTTCCACTCCTGTTCTGAGAGAGATGAAGCATGGAGACAGAGCTGGGTTCAGGTGGGACCTACAGAATTGGTGGTGGTACAAAGAGCAAGAACCCTTGAAAGTTTATGGCAGCAGTTCTCTCAGGGCAAGGGGGTAGATGGATGCTTGGCTAGTTTAGGGGTGCCAAAACCAACTGTCATCTAATCGACCTCCAATTCATGCAGACTCCATGTGTATCAGAGAACTGTGCTCTATGGAGTGTTCAGTGGCTGGGTTTTCAGAAGTTAAAGGCCAGGCTTTTCTTAAGAGGCACCTCTGGGTGCATTTGAACCTCTAACCTTTTGGTTACTGCAGAGCATATTAACGGTTTGCACCATCCAGAGACTCTGCTTTGGGGTACAGGAAGAAACCTCCAAATAATCGACTTGTTCCTTAGCACCTCAAAGTCTTACCTATTGCAATCTATGTCTCCTCATACTTTCTTGCTACTGACCAGATATTTTAATGTTATGGTATTTGACACATAAAGATCTTATTTTCATTATATTTGTACCCTTAATTATTTTAGTAATTGTTTTAATTCTTTCAACCAATTTTGGTACTTTTTGTCTTGAATTCAACCTTCCCAGACATTGATGCCTCCCGCCCCTGCTTTCTGTTTGTTCGCCATCATGTTTGCACCATCTTTTTACTTTGATTCTTAACCTTCTGGGTTTTAGAGTGTAGACAGCAGGGGTTCGGGTGTTTGCTTAAATCACTGTGAAGTCTCTTTCTTTTAATTAGAATTTTTTTAAAAACCTACTGACACCAAGTCAATTCTGACTCATAAGTGACCCTATATGGAGTCCTGGTGTAGCGCTTCAGGTTAATGCGCTGGACTGTAAGGTCATAGTTCAAGTTCACAAGCCACTCCTTGGAAACCCTATATAAGGTCGCTATGAGTTGGAACTCACTCGATAACACTTAACAACAACAAAAAGAATGTATATCTTTCTGGGAGCAGACAGCCTCATCTTTCTCCTGTGGAGTGACTGGTGGGTTTGAACCGCCAACCTTGCAGTTAGCAGACCAGCACCTTACCCATTAGTTTTCTTTACAACTTTATTATCAGAGATATACGTGTTTCAGCTTTGGTCAACTATTTTTGGAGGTAAACTTTAGTTTCTCAACTTATTAACCAAAGAAACAATTTCAGACTTTCTCCAGATGGAGAAAATTAGCATACTTACAATACCCCTCCCTTCCCATCCCTCTCCTCTCCTAAAATTTTTCATGGGAAATTTTTGTTATTTCGACTTTACATAAATTTTATGTCAAGATTTAGCAATGTAATAGGACAAAATGACCATAGTTAGTTAAATGTAATTCTGTTTAGGTTTATTTATGTTAGTTCTATGTTTAATTGGATTCAGTTCTGTCCTTCTGTGGCTTATTTTTTTCCTGCCTCATAAAAATTTCATTTTATTTCAGGGTTTAGTTGACTGGATTCTATCTACAAGGAGATTTTTCCAGAAAGATGTGACTGGTGCTATGATTCTGTAGTTCTTACATTTCACTTTCGAGTCCTTTTTTTTGCTACATGACAGGTCTCCTGGGGAGAGCCTTCGTCTCTCAAGGTATCACTACTGCTTTGTTGTTTTCTTGAATTTAGTATTGTTGAGTAAAAGTCTGAGACCAACTTGACTTTTTTTTTCTTCTAATGAGTAAATATGCTCTATGTTTTAAATACTTGTTTTTGTTGCTACGTGCCGTCCAGTAGGTTCTGACGCACAGCAACCCTTTTCCCAGGAGTGGTTGGTGGGATTGAACAGCTGATCTTGTGGTTGGTAGTCCAGTGCTGATCCTACAGCGCACACCAGGACTATTAAACGCTTGTAGGAACCTTCATTACCATTTTTAGTCCTTGATTCGCGTAGCTTCACTCGTATAATTTTGGGCTTCATATTTTACTTCTATTTTTCCTACCTAAGTTGCCTTTCTGAGTTGCTTCTCAGAGTCCTAGTGTGGCACTGTGGGTTTAATGTGCTGGACTGCAAGGTCAGTTTGAACCATAAAGATTGGTGGTTCAAGTTCACCAGCCACTCTTCAGAAACCCAATGCAGGGTTGCTATGGGTCAGAACCTACTCAACAAGAAGAGTGCCTTTCTGAGTTGGCGATTCCTATTTTCCCTAAATTTAAGGAATCTTTCTCCTGCTATAACTTGCATGTTTTCTCTCTTTTCTTCAGAAATATTGACGGGCACGTTTGGGAGGATGTCCTCTGTCTTTTATATTCATCATCCTCTTGAATCACATCGATCACTTCTCTGGTTTTTTTCAACCCTTTCGTCTAGTCAGAGAGCTTTAGCAAAGTTTGATCCACTTTCCACTGTTCCTCACGGGGTTACAGTTTGATGGTAGTATCATTACTTTGTAAGGAGCCTTGGTAGAGCAGTGGGTTAGGTGCTGGGGCTGCTAACACAAGGTCAATAGTTCCAAGTTTCCTGCTGCTGTGGGAGAAAGATGAGGCTGTGTGTTCCCGTAAAGACTGAAAGTCTCAGAAACTCTATAGAGGGTCACTATGAGTTGGAATCGACCCGAAGGCAATGGGTTTTGGAATAATTATTTTTTTATGATTACTTTTCTTAACTCTGCCAGCTTACTTTTCATTGTTTCCTGTTTTACTTGGACCCCTTTGTTGATCTCTAATGTGCTAGGTACTTTGTTATTTTTTTCCCCAAGATTCCATGTTCTCTTTTTCATTGAATAGAGAGCTTTTATTGAAAACATATTTCTTCTGTTTATTATAGTACTTTTTAGTACAAGTGTAATATTCACTTGTCTTTTGCTTTTAATTTTATGTCATTTTCCTTCTCTTCTGTCTTTTCATTAACCACCTATAGTTCATGTTGCACCCTTTTTGATACCTGCTTATCCTTAACTAAGGAGCTCTGGAAGCGTAGTGGTTAAGAGTTGGGCCGCGGAGAACAAACAAGATCGCGGATCGGCTGGAAGTGCAGTAAAGGAGCTCCGCCAACAACAACACAGAATACTCGACCAAGCAGGCTCAGGGGCTGGTCCCAGAACTCTGAACCACATAGAAAGGAATACTTAAAAGGTTGGAAGGCTCACAGCTGGGGGAATTTGTGGCAGAAGCAAGAAATTCATTGCTTTCTAATTCGAAGAGCCGCCATCTTGGGTGAGACCAAGCAGGAGAAGGATCAGAGTGGCCACAGACGCCTGCCAGAACCACAGAGATAAAGGTGTGGACATTCTTCTCTTTTGGTAGCTGTTCATTGGTCCCTTGCTATCTGAACACCTCGGAGGGTTCTACCATGCATGCGCACAGATCTCCTAGAAATTTAAAGAGACAGTTTCCAATTAAAACCAAATGGCCACAGCCGGCCCTGAACTGTTTCCAACTAGAAAAAAGGCCTCAACGGGGA